ATCTCCTACTTCTGTCAGTTCAGGACATATTGCGACCTCCATTCAATGCTGCCGTTTAGTAACTATCCTCATATCTGACTTCATTTGGCCTGGTGGGGTGAGATTATTGGTGAGTAGTGCTAAGAGGTCCTTTACTAGGACAAAGCAGCTATCCAGTGCTCCCGGGTTTCCAATATTTTTTCAGCTGATATCATTTCATGATGAATACTAACTCCACAGGTTGTCATAAATAAAATAGATATGTATAATCACTACGTTCATGTTACATTCATCATTACTGACAAAAATATCGAATAAAGTTTTGAGAAAATCTAATACCATACCCGTTTCACAGAATTTCACTTACAAACAAGAACATAACAGCGGTCTGCAACTACCTGAAGCCCAAGACCTAGGTTACATGGATGTTGACAATAGTCAGCAAGGCGTATATGTACCTTCTGTGGAATCGATATGCCCTCTGAGATTCGAAACTTAGGTCACGGCTTCATGCGACTGCCACCAATCAACTAACGTCCGTCAAAGTGCACTGTGTTGATGAGTCTTCCAGGCTGGTAACCATATTGCAAAGATAATCGATAGAATCCTATCAGCTCTTGGAACTAGAAAACATGAAATTCTTTACTCACCCCTGACCAATCACTGAATGCTAACCTTTGGATCCAGAATAAGTTTGTGCAGACTTCACCCCAATCTTGGCTAGATAAGGATTGAATAGCATATTCGTCCTTCTGAATTTTAACAGCCCTTCCTTACTCTTTATGTTGTTTCTCTTACATATCCCTGGAATATTCGTTTTCAAACTCTGGTTATCACAAACTTCATCCTTTAGTGTTGGGTCTTGTATACCACTGGAAGTTTGCAGGCCGCTGACACTGCTGGGTTGCCCTCACCGAGCAGGTGCTCGGAGGAGACCGTAGAGCCCACGGAACATCTGTTTCAGGCCTGTTACACAGCCTTTTGAGGGTTGTTACTTTGAGGTTTGGTTTTCCTGACACCGGATAGACTAATAATCCATACCAATCCGCACGAGAAGATCGTGGGATAGAGTGGAATGTGCGATTTTGGAGGCTGATCCTTTTTAACCCTTTCCTTCCGTAGGGAATGCAGCGTAAGTGTGTCACTGTTGTTTATCCAAGGGAGACGCATTACTGCTATCACACTCCATCCAGCCAGCAGTACAAATTTAACCTCAAAGGGAACAAGCGTTCCTTCCAATGTGACTTAATGGGTCATTGTGGTAAGCAAGCCTAATCACCACATCAAGGAAGCAGCTATCAGCCGGGTATTTAGTATTACGTCACCTTGACGTTCTTTTCCAATCATCAACTTACTTGAACATCTGTCTACCGTGTCATGTTGTTTGGATCGATTTAACTGAAAAATATTCACCCCCCCCCCTACATCTATAATTCACAATAAGGATTTTCAGTATATATTTATTTCTGATGAAACTATTTCTAATAGCTGTGTGATTTGGTAAAGTAGTGTCATGGATATGGATTGAGTTTTGCATATGAAACAGGGAAATGTTTCGCAGAAGGATAAGAATCAGAGAATTATGGATTACTCATCCGGTACTCTACTAATTGAGATACGTAATCAACTGCTGGGTCAATTCTCACCTCACTGTGATTACTGGACGTTTTTCACAACTGGCATGTGAATATGTTATACTTAACTGCCTTCTCGTTCCAATCAAAATCTAGAACTTGACCGGTGAACTGTAGCCCATTGGTTCGAATCCTGCCGTGATCCATCTCACCTTCAGTCATTGCCCAGCACCAATTACATTACTACCTGGTGATTTGCCATCTAATCTTCATTTTCTCATAGCCGTTTTAGGAGAAAGCTGCCATCTGTAGTTATAATGAGAATGAATCATCCATTCAACATAGTTTCTATCATTAGCTTTAATTGTCACTGTTTTCATCTTCGTCTTAGCTATTTTCTCCAATTTTCCTCTAATTTCATTCTTTTCCTCACAGCTTGAGCTTCAACAGATTATACTTGAAATTATTATTTGTTGATACTTGTAATTCTGCACTGTTATACAGGGTCAAATTAATCTGCAATATCGAGGTAACCAAATAGGATTCCATATGCCAACAGAGATCAGTTAATTCGATCCAGTAAAGCAGTACAGAATTACAACTACGAACAAATAATAATAACTAATACCCGTCGTACAAGAGGTGGCTACCGTGCCTCAGTAGCCTAGTGGACAATTCTTTGGCTTTTGGATTTGAGTCTCGCTGGGAACACCATTAATTATTGAGTACAGGTGTATCCAGCTGACTAGTGAGGTCCATATAAGACTAAATGTACGTCTTCAACTCCAATGCTAGCCAGAACCAACTAATTATATACTTGAAATTGGTAATAGGCAGTTGACTGTACGGAAGTAACTTCATTGTATGTCGTTTTCTTAATCCTATACTACTTGAAATTCTGATGAACGAAGTTCATCAATAAAGGACATTGTGCATTAATTACTTCCAGCAATATTACCACCATTTATTTGTCTACATATTACCATGTTTTAGTTCGTGATTTCCAGTAAAAAAAATGATTATACTGAAATATCCATTTTTATTTGACACCATGAGATGCAGGTTCGAATCCTTAAGTGAGCATAAGTTTCCTCATACCTGCCGTTATACCTTTTTAATGAGTACCAGCAAGTACAAAATATAGGTCAAGTAAGGTTTCCTGTTGAATAAATGCTACTATCTAACAGAATTTTATTATACATAGGTAACTATTATTTATCAAGATATAATAGACTGGAAAATGGAAAGAGGAAATTGTTAAGCAAAACTTTTAAAAGTGCACTAATCACGAGTACTCTGAAGTGGAAGAATAACATGAAAAGTACATTTAGTGCAGATAATAAACTATCGATTATCAAATGATGCGCGTATAGAATAAATCTATTTAAAGGCAGTTATCAATAAATGAATTTATAGTGTTTTACAGTGTGTTTATATGTGTATACAACGATATAACTATAGCTATACAAAAATTGAGTGGGTGGCACCTGAAGAAAACAAGTGATATATTCACCAGGTTAGGGTTATTTTATACCTTCTGTGCTATTTTTTTCTCAAACAATATAAAGTACTGAAGCTTAAGAATTCTTCCAGCTGAAATTAAAAGGATAACAGTACATCTATGTTTAAAGAACACAGTTTATAGATGTTGATGTTAGCTTGAACACTAACCGTTCAGATTCCAGCTTAGGTGTTTTCTCGATTTGTCAGGAAATTGAAAAGACATAATAATAGAGCCGTTTATATCTCTATCAATTTCATGATTTCAATGATTTCTGTGATTTTCAGTGAAAACCTAAGACTTTATTTGTCCAGTTGCTGGTTGACCGACACAGCACTTGATTGAGTATCTCAATGAACGTCAGTGTTCTATCTTCCATTCTTTCTTCATAACGGTTCATATAAGCTTCAAATCACTTCAGTGAAGATGGTTTGTGTTTATATCCCCAATGCTATTTGATATCATCTCATGGAATATGTGTGAATATTTGAACAATAACCTTAGGATTCCACCGCTCAAATACTCGGAAAACAGAAAAGACCGTAGGATAAAAGGTATATTACAACTCCGAAAACACATATCTTGGTTATTTCCAAGCTTTGCTAATAAAGTAATTCCGTTTGAGTTTTCTTTTCTAACCAGTCTAATATCTACACAAATAATCTCGCATCTTAGATAGAAACTCAAAGAATTTTGATTGTTTGTGAAAGATTTGTTAAGATTTAGAGATTCTCTGCAGGATCTAAGCAGTCGTATTGAATAGTACACAAAAAAATAGTAAGTTTTTGAAAAAATTTGAAAGATGTGGAAAGTGGCTAACCGTGAGTAAGTTGTCTTCAAGCTGTATGTGAATTGGTAGACAAGATTCAGTTTGTAAACCAAGTGAATTCATTCATGAGTCTTCTTCTGACTTGGAAAAAGAGATGTAGGCTAATCAAGGTTAACTATTGGCGCTTTTGTTTCTGAAGATATCTGACTACTGGTAATCATAGAAAACAAGTTAGTTTTCATAATTATGAATAGTATTTGATTCTATTTGTTTCGTATAACTGTGGATACCTTCATGAACAGTGTGATACGAGTATTCACTAATCTAGTTAGCTGGATCACCGATGTTCACTATAGTGTAACTAGTAATCGCTTCAAATGCAACTCAAATCCTCATCGCTTAGTTTGTTTTTTATCACTGAATTGAGTTCTTGCAAAAGATTTCAATTAAGAAATTCTTATTCTGTTTTTTAAATCAATTCTAATGAACCAAATTAAAAAGTTACGCGTTGAACTGATCCGTTTGACACTTACGCAAATGGTTGGCTCACGCAACGACTTGTTGCTTTAGTAAGTAAACTTGATTCAGTTTCACTGCATAATGCATTTTCATGAGTAAATTCCAAATTATCCCGTTGTTAGTAATGTGGTCCTACGTCTAACTGAAAATCTGCAGAAAAGATGGCAAGTATAATTTATATTACACAATATCGGTAGTATTCTCAACCAGTCAAAATCAAATGACCTCAACATGCTGTAAGCAAGTAAAAGAAACCCATCAATCACATAACTGTACACTTCTTTGAGAAGGCCAGAAGCAAGAAGTCAGCCAATCAAATTTGGCAAGCTCCCACGCACTCATCAAGTGACCAATCAGCTTGCGCATTGACAAAGTGTCAAGTTATAAATGTCCATGCATAACTAATTGTTTCACTTCCTTATGAAGCTTTGATGCTCTGTCGACGATGTCTAGCATGACATTGAACCGTTTGTTAACTAGAGCTTTAGTTCAGTGAACAGGTCACTCCACACTTCCAGATATTCAGCTACAAACATTCACTAAAATTTCTATATTTACTGAGATTTTCACAGTAAATTTACTGAAAAATCACTTTGAATTCTAATAGCAATAAAATACTGTATTAACCCTTTTAATTATTTTTTAAATTATTACCTAGATGTGGACAGTGGAGGTAATGTTCACGGACCAATGGATCAGAGACATACTGCTCGACTTGGAAACATTAGTCGAAGCGGTCACTCGATACCTGGATCACGTTATTACCTTGGTGAAAATTGGTCAAGTGAAAGTGCTAAACGCCGTCAATCTGATAGCGGTGCTTGGGAATCTCAATCAGAAAGTAAAGCAAAATAATAATTGGCAATCTCAAATGTTTCTTTATACAGATTCAGATTGATTTCCCGTTCTCTTTCAGCATACAGATTTTTTTTGTAGTAGATATATGTTTTGATCTCAAATAACGTGAAATTAATTCACTACATAATCGTTTATGGCAGCTAAACGACATAAGATGAAGGTTGTGCTAAATCCAAAATTAACAGAAGCAGGAAATATGGACAAGTGGAACCCAATCCAGTGGTTTATTAGTAACGTTCTGGTCACGGAACCTGAAGGTCCCGGGTTCCATCCCTGGCGGGGGAGGGGGGTCATGTGTATACACTGGCGAGGTGTTCCACGCTAAGAAAAAACAGCTGTTCTGTGGTCTTAGGTTTTCAACGTTAATTGATATCAGTTCATGATAAATACCAACTTGAAATCAATCAATGAAATCCCTACAAACCTCCAAACTGATCTAAACTATTGTCCATTTGAGTATGGTTAGCTAAATTCCCCCTCGCTTTTTACCGCCTAACATTCTAAGCTGGTGTACATATTACCCATAGATACGCAAATTTAGGTTGACACGTAGTTGAAAAGTAATTGAATAATTTACATCATTCAAACCATCACTGAAGAAAGAGAAACAAACGATACCTCAGTGTTTAGATTTCACTAGTTAACAAATAAAAACCGTTTCACTGTGTAGAGGAAAAAAAATTGGAAAACTTTGAAATAACGTGGATCATTGGATTTGCAAACAGTGAATTGACACTGACGTTATTTTTCACAAGGTCTGATGGTCCTGGATTACCTCATTCAACGAGTTACGGGATCGTATTACAGACGATTCACAAATTAGGCAGAAATAGCCTTCAGGTACACTCAATTTTCGAGTGTTTCTTCAACCAACGTTAATCTATAATGAAAATTACTTCCTAAATAATAATTATTCCCAAGGAAACCTCTGTGACTGTTTCATACTTCAACTCAACTTTTTTATTGTCTTTGAACATCTATGCACTGCTATTGAATACATCAATGAAATACATACCGGTTATAAATTATATATATATCTCGTTAGCTTGCTTTTTCGTTACTAGTGTCGAACAAAAGAAATGAACTTCTTCATTTAATTATGTATTTAGCCAATTATGGAGATATTTTGATAACCTACCAAATACCTGACCACATAAAGAGTACCACTTGTGACAAGTAAACTAATTGTCAGAAAAAATGAGTAAACCATTTATATTGACTGAATAGCTTTAATGCAACTATTCTTAGTGTCTTACGGCTGTGGATAGTTTGTAGGAAATCTGGAATCTAGAAATTACGATTATTGGCAAGTACTAACAAGGCATATTTGCAATGGATTGTAGACAATTACACTAGTGTTGTACACTGTTAAGTTATCACACGAATAAGGAATGAGTTCTTAGAGTTTTGGTCTCATTCACCAACTATATGAAGATGCCACAAGCCAAGTAATTCACAATAGGAAGTTCAGTGATGCTTTTGAAGTGAAGACAGGGGTGAAAAAAGGCTGTTTACTATCACCCATGATATTCCTGATTGTGGTCGACTGGATCAATTAAGAAACAGTGAGGAGCGAGAAGAGTGGGATACGCCAGCTGGACCACCGAAAAAAGAACCTAGAAAACTTGAATTTCGGCGATGACTTGTGTCTGATGTCACACAAACTTGAAGATCTACAGGCGAAAACTAACAAGTTGACAGAAGAGGCATGGTAGGGCAGCGAAGACGGGACTTCCTCCTTCAAGTGAACGTAGAGAAGACAGAGGTGATGAAGATACCCAACCAACAATAGCAACAGCAACAACAAGTTCCAGTCATCATCAATGGGAGAAACGTAAAGGAGTTAGCCTCTTTCATCTATCTAGCCAATGCAGCACCGTTTCAACTACATGTGGCACAGACACAGACGAGGAGGTCAAAGTCAGCCAGGATCGGAAAAACAGCAACACAGGCCTTCCTTCATTAACCTGAAGCCAATGTGGAGATATTCTGCACTCATTTTGTGGAACAAGATGCGGACTTTCAACACTAAGCCAGTCAAGTAAGTCAGTGAGTGTTTCTATGTAGTGGTTGAGAGACTTGTTGTGTTGTGAAAGGGATTTCCAACAAACTACAGACATTCATCAACAACTGCCTACGTTACTGAAAATCGATGAGATGGCCAGAATAATCAGAATAAGCAACAAGGAGCTCTGGGAACGAACCAACCAAGAACCTGTCACCCAACAAATATGCAGAAGGAAGTGGAGATTGATTGGGCATACACTGAGAAGGCCGACTGGGGACATCACGCGTCAGGCCAGACACTCGAGTGGAACGCCGATGGGAAGCGACGAGTTGGGCGTCCGAGGTGAGGGTGACATGGAGGAGATGGTGCGAGGAGGAAATGAGAGCTTGTGGGCTGACGCGGAGCCAGGTTCAAAAGTTTGTGGACAACAGAGTTCACTGGAGACGCTCTAGTTGATCCCTATTTTCCATTAGGAACCCAAGGGACAAATAATAAATATAATCTTAGAGTCTTGACTGGTCTGCTTCACCACAATGAATAAATGCATCAACCAATCATTCGATAGTAAGCACTATTTTTATTTGACTGATATATTGAATGGTAAACACTATGTGAAGTGAAAGGATGAAAATAACTTTCTGTCACGAATAAAATTGGAATTTTGTTGCCTCATTTACTTGGCGTTTTAGTGTGCACTGAATACTTCCTCACCAGTTATCTAATCCAGTCTCATAGCAGGTCATTCGCTTTAGAATAGCTCAGTGTGACTGGTGCTGAATCCTATACACGGCAATAATTCTCTTAAGGTTGCAGGTATCCTTCATTGACGTATGACAATATACACAAAAATCAAGTGACGAAATTCTTACTGATTGACCCCAACTGATAAACCTTACACTGTTGTGTAACCATAACTTGACTTGCGTGTTCACAATATAAGTGTCGAGTGAATTTCATACAGCTTAGTAACTACTTGTCAGGAGTGTTTTTTTATTTAGGTTAAATGTACAGTATACATTCGGTCAGTCGGTATGAACACGAAGCTTAGTATTACTATATAACCGTTCAATTTGCCGAATCTCACGTCAACACATCAAGCGACATTGCACTTAGGTAAAACTAAGAGAAATTAGGAAGAAAGTAGCTCAAAATGGTAGAAAGTCGTCGTAAAAGAAAAAAGAGGAGTGAAACGATAGCGAAATTCGGTATGATAGTTAAGATGATAATGTATGAATACATCTACTGCATTTATATAGGTTCTGAACCATATTTAATTACGTTAATGACGGATCGTGGCTAAAGGTGGAATCCAGGATGAATGTTTCGTCATATTTGGGACTCGTCAGCTGGATGTACCTGTTTTCCAGTGAGTGCTGTTGTTCCCACCGGGACTCGGACTCGGGAGCGATCGCTTCAAACGCCAGCGCGAGTGATCAACTACACCACTGAGCCACGATAGCCACTTCTTGTGCGATGGGTATAGTTTTAGTATACTATGCTGCACTGCCGCTCGAGAAGTGACTATCATAGCTCGATGGTGTAGTGGATCACTCGCGCTGGCGTTTGAAGCGACCGCTCCCTAGTCCGAGTCCCGGTGGGAGCAACATCACCCACTGGGAAACAGGTACATCCAGCTGACGAGTCCCAAATATGACGAAATATTCATCCTGGATTCCACTGCTAGCCACGATCCATCATTAACATAATTAGAAGGCAGGCAATATCGAGGTATCTGCACAGAAGCCCATATGCCAATAGAGACTAATCGATTCCGTCCGATCTGCGACAGTTTCATATAAAAACAATTATACTGAACCGTATCAGTAACAGCCTTGAACCAGAAGCTTTGCGTGCCACAACAGCTTTAAGCTATATGTCTACATTTCCCCAGTAACCAGACACAAAGGAGTGGTAACATGTCGTAGTCTGACCGTCTCTAACCATTTCTCAGCCTAAACTTGTTTCTTTTAGCGTCACATTGGTAGGCACGCGTAACACATATCCCATTCAAGTCAGTTGATTAAGATTCTCAACCCCATCAATTGACGTTACTCTTTTGCTGAAGACCCACTTTTTGACTTTTACACTGCTTACACAGCAGCACCACAACAAGTATACACGCTGGAAATGACCTAGATTTTTAATTTATACGCTCAAAATAGCCCTATCTTTTGAAATATCCACTGCCTTTAAATATGTGCAATACACTACGTGGTTTTACTTTCATTTCATTTGAATTTCTTGAAAATGTATTTTAATAACATTTTCTGCCCAAAATTTCACCAACAGCTCACAATCACAACGTTGTCAATACTTTTCGAAGTCGAACATATTCTGAGTCTAAACGGTTGAATGAGTTATCCGATGATATGTATAGATCCTCCAGAGGGAATTCAGTGTCTACACGGTATCATTATTCAAACCAGCAGCCTCACTATAAAACAACAGCATCACATAATGTTCCCAGCGTCTCACCACAAGCACATATATCTCGTTGGTCATCAATGCAGACCACTGGCACACAAGGACTTTGGAGAGGTAACAGTACTGGTAGATATGCGACCACTTTGACGAGACAACATATTAAAAAGCATCGTGATCCAGTTGAAATGGTTGTCAAGCATACAGTGAGTTGAAATTGCGGTAAACTGTAAATCATTCAGAAAAAAAATATTGCTAACTATTTAATTCTAAACTTTGCCCGTAACCGGGTAAAAAAGATATCAATATGATGAGAGACAAGTGGACTGGATAAAAATAGCGACTATTTTCCCTTAGAACCTTATGCTTCACTAAGCTTCAGAAATCAGAGGGGAAAACCGACTTGTCCCTATAAGAAAGACACTTCATTCTACAAAATACAACATTTATATACAGTTTTCATGAAATTAATAAAAATCACAAGGTCGAAAGTTAAGTAATTTATTTTGATTGGTTAATTGTGGGACAAATTGTCCAGTAAGGTATTTCTCGACCGCACAGTGATATGAAACAAAAATTTAAGTCCAAATCTTCTATCTTGGCGGCTGATGGACTTAAAATGTTGATTTCCATTCAGGTAGCTTCTTATCCTTACTAAACAGCAATAATTAAATTTTCATAAATTTTTTAGCAGTGAGTAACTGATGTAGCTGTTTAGTCTTGTTTATTCAGCACTACACGCAGTTCCAAGCACAATACTAAACAACGTCGGTATCCCGCAAGTTGCCATGTAGGCTTTATGTAGTGTGACTGGTATTAGAGATTTTTATTCGGTCAAAATAGTGTGTGAAATGAGTAATCTTAAGCATAATTTCAGTTAGTCTTTTCATTTATTGTAATATTTTTAATCTAGAGTACCATATTATGCCTACATGTTGACATGCAGGAGACCGGCAGTGGGACTAGACGACATCCCTGGATCAGTTTCCGAATCTCGTCACTAAGCTAGGTCGTGCGTTACTGTAAAGTACTGTATTTTGGCGTTAGATGCTGAGAGCCAATCAGGTTTGTAACCTCTAAGGGAAAATCACTTCCCCATAGGTACAAACATACCATGCTGTGGAGTGCTAACAAGCATGAAACTGAGGTTAAGGCTAACTTTCAGCCAAATAACTTTCAACTCCTATCGGAAATGCTTCTGAAAACTAGAAAAACGGTTCAAATATAGATAAAGCAATGCAGTATACGACGTATTAAGCACTTTTAATGTACTAAATACCAGTTGCCGGAATATTCTGAGGTGCCTTGGCATTTTCTAGAAATCAAAATACTGTCTACAAAGGGATTGCATTTTTCTCTATCTCCTCAGTGAAAAGTATTCTGAAAGTATATCGTGGAGGTTTGATTCTGTGGAAATTTTAAAATTTTCACTTAGTAGTCAGGTTTATAGTAGTCATGGAATAGTAGTTCATTCATTTATACATCAGCGAATTAAATGGACCAATTTTGGGCAGGCTTTGTTCATTGGTTTTGAAAGGGAAATGATGTCACGGAGTTATTTTACAACTGATACTTTTATATTCATTGGAGTTTTGAATCAGAAATGTAGAGAGTAAAGAAGTTTTACGAGGCTACATTCTAACTTATTTTTCAAAACCAACAATCTAAACGAAGAATATTTTTTTCAATGTATTTTAGATTCAGTGAACCTTCCGTTAAACTTCGGGAATTCGCTAGGTACCTTCAATGCCATGGAATGCTCTGGAGAACTGCAGGATTTCAAACATCTACAGACTTCCATAACATAAATAAAAGAAAATAGTCTGAACGATGAATACTTTTTTAAAAATTCTGTTGAGTATACCAGTGCGTTGAAGGTACTCAATGAGTTCCTGAAGTTGGACGTAAGGCTCACTGAATCTAGAATATATTGAAAAGAATATCCTACATTCAGATTTTCGCCTTTTAATTAATGTTATGACTATCATTAAATGTTTGAAATCTAACTTGTTTTTAATGTTATGTACTGTAATAGCAGTTTTAAACGTGGTTAGAATCAAGCTACATTCGATAGATGACCAATGAACTTCAGTTAAACAGTTTTAGTGATGGATACGTTGAGGCTGTTCATCCAATTCACTTCATTCCGTTGAGATCAGTGATTATATAGAACTTTAAAGTGTGAAACTTATATACACAAACTGAAATGGAAAATCTAACAGGTGTAGTCGATCTGACGGCTATCAGCAGAATCCAAGACGTCAAGTGGATCTGCATGCACTTCAGTCAGTGATATCATCTTCACTCAGACTCGAACTAAGTACTATCACCTCTAACGCCGAAACGTTATCCACTAGGCTACTGGGTCATAGGGGCCACCATTTAAGCAATAGGAAGTGGTTGCTGTTTACTGATACTTGTGATTTTTTCTTTACCATACTGGATCGAATTGCTCCCCCTCTATCAGCAGATGGGCTACTTTGCAGCTACTTCAATACTACCTAAATATTCGTTACATTGTAGTCTATTTATTGACTAGCAATTGACTCATAGACACATGTTTCATCCTATTTTGGACTCGTCAGTCGAATCTATACGTGCCTGGATGAAACATGTGTCCTGAAGTTCACTGTTAGTCACCAAGATGAATATAACATCATACATATCCGGTGGTATCGAGGCGTCGACATACGAGCCAATTCGCCAACAGAGGTCGAGGAATTCTATCTGGTATAATAAAAGGAAATCACAAGTATCAATAAATACCTAACGGATGATTCAAAAGAACTTAATATTTTCATAAAACACATAATATTAAATGCGTAGTGGTTGCAAACAGCTCTTGATTGTATTAGGCAAGTGATAATTTTTGAACTATTCGCAGTCGCCTCTCCATATTTGTTTTGTTGAATAAATTTGTCCATATGATTCTTATTTTCTCCATCTTTTTTAAAATAAACGCAGCCATCTGGAGGAGCATCACGCGTTGATTTAGTTTCAGTAGATAATCGTCAAGGTAGCCTACCACACTTGCCTTATTCAGTCAGTACAGGAATAAGTGAACGTGAGATAAAATTGCAAGATGAGTTGATTAATACACAACGAGAGCTACAACAACTGAAACGATCCAGAAGTCTTACTGGTGATCAAAATTTAACACATTCAACCACTCTGAAACATACTTTGAAATCTGGCTCTAGTCAGTATTTAAACGATGGTCTATGGACCACTTACAGTTTGAAAAAGTAAGTTGACATTGTGAAGTAAAGTTGTTGTATGTTACTTTGAATTATCGTTATAGTTATCTCATCCAGTAAGGTTGGCATCTGATGAAACTGTTGTTTGAACCAACAGAGACATTCGTTAACTTTGATAAGTATGATGAGTTTTCAGACTTAGAGTTTTCATAAGGTGTCTCGAGCCATTCAGATGAAATACTCGTATGGATCTAGGCTTCTAACCTGTGAAAATTCGTCAGTGAAGCATAGCTTTAATCAAGTGGAAACTTATTTCCCCTCGGCGATTCACAAGTGCACCAATGGCCTCCAAAACGTTTGAGCTAATCTGGACTGCTAATTTGTCGATTAAAATGTGTGGATAACAAGTGGTTACCAGTTATGCATCAATGTTAACTTGACCAACATGAAAATTTCACATTTTTAAAAATACACTACTTATGTTTGTAAGATAAACTTAGTTTCTTCTTAAAACTAAGCAGCCAACAAAAATTGTCACTAAATTGCTTTTTGAAAAGCTTCATCTCCTCAACGACAAAAAATTAATAGTGCCGTTGCTTGCATTATCCCACTGTAAGACTCGAACTGGAGACCAATGTCTTCAACTGCATGAACGTTATCTACTAGATCACCGAGCCACGACAGCCACTTCTTGTGTGACGGGTGTAATTTTAATGTGGTTGCTTGTATTGTCCCGCCGTAAAATTGTTAGTTACCTTCGTGTATGTATGGTCCTTCGATTCAAGAAGTGCAGTGGACAAACATCGAAATTCGAAATTGAACTGAAGTTGAGTGCAGTGGGAAAAACATCACTCATTGGGAGGTAGGTACGCCCAGCTGATGAGTCCCAATGGGACGAAACGTGCCTCACGGATTCCACTGCTACCCACTATCCATCATAAATAAAAAACCAATAAGCTCACATCGGTTCGGACAGATGGTTCATTTAGTTAGTTTCTGATTGAGCATCAGGCCACAGAAAGAGGTGATTTAACTGCAAGACGTTCGGTTTATGATGAATCTATCAGGTAAGAAGATTAATACTTTGGTGTACTTAATTTATTCATAATACATAAATATTTCTGAGATGAATGCGGATTTTTAATTTAGAAGTAGTATTCATCATAAGTTGGTATCAGTTAGGGAACCACTGAAAGTCTGGAAGCACTGGATAGCTGTCTCGTTTAACTAGTATGGGACTCCTCAGCAGTACGCACCCACGACCCGGCTAGGGGATGGAACTTAGGACCTTCAGGTTTCACAGCGAACGCGTTAACCATCCAGCCACTGGGTCGATTTCCATGATGAATACTACTTCTACACAAGTATTTGTTAAGCGCATAACAAGGTAGTATTCATCACAGACTGATCACTTGAAGAACCATTGAAATTGTAAATGTACTGTATATCTGTTTCGTCCGAATGGGGAACTGCTCAGCAGTGGGAAACCACCTTTTCGTCAAGGAATCAGCCCAGAACTATCCGATCCCATGGCGAGCACATTGTCATTCAGTAACTGGCCCATTATTCAATAGTTAACATTTTCATACGATTCGCGATATAGCGTGACCGTCGTCTGATGACACCAACGATTATCCGTCATCATACTTGACATGGTTAGCTTCACAGTTTATGGCTTCTCATTTGAACTTCGAGAAATCCACTTACAAACATTTTCAGTAATAAGTAATTTGGAAATTGTAGGAGACTAATTGACCTCAGAATAGTATTCGTAATGAACTAACATCAGACAGAGAACAAACAAAAACTCCATAAGACTGAAAAGCTGTTTCATTCTAACATTTGTTTCTTCAGTTGCACATATTCCTGAATACCTCAGGCCTCGAACCCCAAGAGTTGTATCGATAATGTTGCGATTCAGTAGGTTGGATTCCGACATGGTAGGATTGTGACACCAATGTTTACTGTGCTATAAGTTAGAAGAAGGCATATAAAGCAGTTGTGAGTTGGCCAATCAACAGACTAATATACTTTAGTTAGTAACCCCTCATGGAAACATGTTTGTATTTTTGTATTAGAGAAGTTTTGACTAAATAATTACTTTTCATTTTGAACTAAGGCTTTTTTCTCCCTTTCAAAAGGAATGAAGGTCAACCATGTGGGGCACGTATTGCAGGTAAGTTGATTCAGTGCTGTCTAGACTCACAAGGAAGGTGATCAAATGAGATATTATTTATGAAGTGTTTAAGAAAGTGACAGAATCTGATGCATTCCTCAACACTCGCACACACACATATATATACGAACAGATGGTTGATGAAGCCAGCAGATGTAACAAAGGAGGCAAAGAATGAACCGGCTAGTACTTTTTTCCCCAATCATTTGCATGATTTTCATTTCAGTATGCTTGAAGAAAATAGTAGTAAGCATGATGTTTTTGTGATGTAGGCCATAGCTGCTTGCTTATTTATTTTGTATACAATTTAGTGTAGTAATGTTATGCTGCCAAACTGCTTAGCTACCATTGAATGCACAATCTACTTTATTTTCACAAGTACCCAGTAAGGAAATGATTTTCTTTTGAAATAAATACAACTTTTCAGGTCAAATAGTGTATCTCTAAACGGTGAAATCATGTATTGTCAGCCAGTGAACAAATTCACTTCATATAGTGGATAGCCAGAAAATCAGGTAAGAGTTGCCAGGTTATCTATTAATTTTATTTATTTTCTAAACATAAGGTGAAATCAAATGTATACAAGATGTACACTTTGCCCTTAGATAATTAAAGCAAAATATGCGTGTTCTTATCAATGCTAATTATTTTTACCTACTTAATTAATTAATAGGCATTTTTTTCAAGACTATTTTTTTGGCTGGCATTCAGTAAAACATCTCCCAAGTCTTGCCACTCTGATAATATTTCATCGGCTAAGGTCAGTAGAAATAATACTACTGAACAGGTTGAGTAATCAGAAACCACTCAAGTTGATCTATAGATTTCTCCAGCCGATCACATCAAAGTAATTTAAACACTGGATAGACGTTTCTCTCGTCTTGGGCTAAATCAGCTCATCAACCATATACTCGGATAAATTCAGCTCAAAGAGTAGCTGAACCTGGTTAACTGACTTGGTTGAACCTGTATACCTTAAATAGGATTTACAAATTTACAAATTACCCTGTCCATGTTTCCGTTGGAAACCACCTCAGACTAGAACCACAGTTGGGCAATTGAAAAACTACTCGGTTTTAAGAAATGTCAACGTGGATAGTGCAGTTTGTAAATAGTTTGTGAATTGATCATCCCATTCTAATGAGAGTACCATGTATAGAAAACTATTTGATGGTAACCCGAGAGTAATTACCAAACTGCTGTAAATATCAGCGTTAGTTATAACTTCTAGAATATACCACATTCAGATGAAATACAGATTCTACAAGCCTCGAAGTAGTCGAATAATTTCACTAACTCTGTAAAACCGTTTTATGCCTATAACTTATCTACTGATTACGAATGTAAATATGTCTGAAGAAACAGTTCCGAGCAGCAACGAAATATAGCTTCTTAATTTCACTTCCAGTTCATTTCGATCTGCAGCATTTCTTAGTTCAATTTACACAGGGAGCAGCTACTTCGAGTAAGAGATTAGAAAAGTAGTTCACTCGTAGAGTTCTACATTTTCATGCAGCACATTTCAGACTTCCACCACATACATGACCAGATTGAACATTGAACAGGATTCCGAATTTGTACGAAAATAAATGTCATGAAACAAAATTCTTAGCTCTGTCTGTGTATATGTGAACCTTCAATGACCTTGAACAATTAGAAAAGTGTAGTGGACAAACATCGATCTTCTTCTGTTTCCAAAAGCATCCTAGAAAATCGACATTGGACTTATAGTGAAACACACGTAATAATGTTGGAGCACTAAAATTTATCCAATCTCCCACTATCCGCGAATTCAAACCTGCCTTCTGATTTATTCGCAAACATTTACTCGCTATGAATACACCTTTGTAATTTCCATAATGAAGGTGATATATTTCAGGGTTGTTCTCATTACAGATTGACATTCTGTGAGTAGATTTTCCTACTTCTGTCAATTCACTATATAACGCGATCATCGTCCAGTGCTGTGGACAATGAATTATGCTCACACCCGACACGGTTGACTCAGCAGTTTATGGCTTCTCATTAGAATTTCGAAAAAACCATCTCAAAGGATATCAATCATGAGCAGCTGATGTAATCTAGAATTCATCTAATGTTTTCAGTTGATTCTGTTGACCTATTTTTGGATTTTCTGATCAATAATTTGACAGGTTGATGAGTGATCATATTTTTCAGCGGTAATCCATAATGTTTCAGGTCATCTTTGCCTATTCATTGTGTGATTTAAATGTCTCGATTATCTCACAGGTGTCATTCATACGGTTTATCTGGGGTTCTCATATGCTCGCTAGTTAGCAAGCTTCACCTATGGAGGGGTAGGGAAATAGACCCAGCTAGTAAATTTCACTTTGCTGTCTCATACAGACTGATTTATTTCTTTTTTCAGAAGGTTCTTTTAGTTTTTTGGTAGGCTTCAAGGATAGAACATGTAATGCATTCTGTCTCACCCTTATAAAACCAGGCTGGAGTACGTCCTCATATACTTGTTGATAGCAGCCTCTTGCTACGGCCAATCTACCATGCTCTGAAGGCTGAGGTGAACTGTTAGAAATATATGAAGGTGGTGTGTTGAAGGATATTGTCTTCTACACTAACGCAGAAAGATATATTACTGATAAAGATCAGACGAAGTTTGTCGATTTTGAAAGACGATTTCCCTGGATGTCTGATACGAAATCACCCTTAACTTTCATCTGGGTCACGTCCTCAAGTCTATCTACTGAACACTGGAACATTAATTCAGAAAGACCACTTCTTAAATAAGATTTATTATTGCAGTCAGTTACAAGTAGGAAACAGTATCTATGATATAATGTCATTAATGTTTACTGAAAAGTCTATGAATAGTTAAAGCCAAGTAGTCATTATCATTTCACAGGAATAGTAGAATGCAATTTGTTAGGGATATATGAGGTAATAGATAAATGTTACTAAAATTATTATCATTATTTGGCATAAATTTAGCATATTGTTGTATCTAACTGTTTTTGCATCATCATAAAATCGATAAAATATACACTAATCTACACCGATCATAATAAATTCATACACACTCACAGTATTATGCATATATTAGGCACAAATTTTAAAACTATTCACAGCCATCTAGTACCCTTCATCCAATCGATAGACTGAAAACAATGTATCGATTCTCACACATTGAAAGTACAACAGAATAAAAATTGATTATGCCCACAAAATTTATTAAAGACCGATACATGTGTTGTGTTCCATTTGTTGTTGTTGTTATTGTTTTTATCAGAAAAGTAAAACAAGAAAATTACAATATAGGTCAATATGCTATATGCATCGAGAAATATCTGCATTGTCTGAAGAATATTCAAATAATATTTTTGTATATTTTAATTGACTTCACGATAGTCGGTAGATTAGTCAAAGTTATTCTATATCATATCACTTTTTCTCTTCACAGAAATATCATTACTAAACATAGTTAAAAGATAGGCAATATCGAGGCATCCGCGTAGGAGCCCATATGCCAACACAGACTGATCAATTCAGTCCAATCGACGACGGTTTAATAACACTAAACCTATACCCGTCGCACAAGAAGTGGCTATCGTGGCTCGGTGGTGTAGTGAATCACTCGCGCTGGCGTTTGAAGCGGTCGATCCCGAGTCCAAGTTCCGGTGGGAACAACATCACTCACGGGAAAGCAGGTACATCCAGCTGACGAGTCCCAAATATGACGAAACATTCATCCTGCATTCCACTGTAAGCCACTGCCCATCATTACTAAACTAGAAAGGATACTTTCAATAAATGATTTTTACAGTGAGAGTAAAGTTCAACAACATCATAAATAGTGAACTAGTTACGTTGGCAATACCATGCTACTGCATTAGGATACTGTGAAGAGGAGATAGTCAATTTTTCATAAATTTGTAAAAGACATGAGAAAGTTCAAGATGACTCACTTTTTCCTCCCTTCAAAGTGGTGGGATGACTCTCAATGAAATAACTTAATCAACATCGTTGAAGATAAATGAGGTGGGCAAGTTGTCAAATGATGAGTCACTGTCAACCCTGAAGTGTTCATCATGAATATTTTGTGAATATCTAACAGCTGGTACTCTAGAGCAACAATCCAATCAAGACTACAGAAGACCGAGAAAAAGTTCATGTTGAAGGTATATCCACAAGTCATTTTGAAACTTTGGTACCGCTCTACACGGATTATTTGAAGTGAGGCATTTTTAGGCGATCCATTGGCTTTCGTGTATCCTTTAAAGTCAAGACGGTTATAACCTTGGCTTTATCTTACTGTTGTATGATGCCTTGTAGATATTGTGAGTACGGTCAGTCATCTATCACATGTCACTGCTTGCCAAACATTATTTTAAGGGAGTTGTGGGGATTTGGAAATATTTCAAGTTGTTGCTAATCGTAGACTGACATCAGTTGGAGGAACAAATGAAACTTAGGAGCACTGGACAGCCGTTTCGTCCTAGTATGGGGCTCTTCATCGGTGTGCACCCACGGCCCCACCGGGGATTGAACCCGTGACTAGCTTCGAGAGGTATTCCTGAAGTTCCAATGACAAGTCGTGACCGGTGGGGGCAAAGTCTGATGATCGTGAGGACAGTTACTCAACGGTGACATTAGTTGGTGGTTGCGCTATGTCGTGAGCTAACAGAAGTTTGAAATATGGATGATTGGATTCTGACCCCAGTGGCTAGCTCAATGGTGACTTGCTGGCCACAGAACCTGAAGGTCACGGGTTCGATCGCTGATGGTGCGGGGCCGTGGGTGCGCACTGCTCAGGAGTCCCATACTAATTGGACAAATCAGCTGTCCAGTGCTCTCAGGTTTCATTTGTTCCTCCAATTGATGCCAGTCTATGATGAATAACAGCTTGAAATAAATTGTCATCTGCTAAGTGGATCTTTAAATGTATCCGGTTCACTTGATACATAACTGGATAACTATCATGTCCTGGATAGAGTAAAAACATAAAGGCCGGTTCTTTTCTTCACATAAGCTTGATTGTCACGTTTGTAGTTTGAGTCTCTAAATAATTACACATAAAAGTACATCATACTCATCCTGAACATTTAACAGAAAACTAATAAATTTAATCCACGTGATCGCCTTTAATTAGGTCTTAAGGACAACCACACACACACACACACAAATCTACAATTGGCTATTTTCTTTTTCATATTTTATTTAACTTTATATATAAGCACCAATAGTAATTTAGCTATCAAACATTCTCTACTGAAGAAGAAATGAGTGCAGACTTGGGTATACTCGAGACCTTGTGACATAACTCACGTATTCTTTGCTGTTTGGTTGACGGTATATGCGTGTACGTGTACATGTGTGTGTTTGTGTATGTGCGTGATACGTGCCAATCCTAATCACTTGATACAGTGAAATATCTATTGACATAATTCTAGTTTATAATGTGATCAAAACGGTAGAATCATTTCTTTTTTTTTTTTTCCTTTCATTTCGATTAAAGCATATACTTCATAATTGTCCAGTGTGGACTATAAACCCTTCCAAGACAATAGTTATTTGACTTAATCAAAAAAGTGAAACTATTTTCACATATCGACGTGTTTCTTTGCTTTCAAAAGTACCAGTAATACCTGTGTAAACTACTCTGAACCAAAGTCCATATACATACTGAAGGCTTTCAAGCATAATTCTTTCGATCCTCGTTTACTATATTCAATGTGGAACAATATATTAATATGGTTTATTTCACTTATCACCCGATGATTACTTATACACATGGCTGTGAAAACCAGTAAAATAGATGAAAAAACGATAAGAAATCACATGGTAAACAGTTCTAATAAGCAATTTCATGAAATTGAAGACAATGTCTTCTCACCAAATTACCTTGAACAACCCATTCAAAATAAAACTGACTTTGATGATGGTAGAATATTCCGCTTACCATCTTTAAACACTAGTGGAAATTTACCAATAAGAAGTCGACATATTGATAGAAATGCTGAAAGTTTTACCACCGTCGTTACTGAAAAGATTGCTTCAATTGGAGAACCACAATACAAGATACCAACATCTCGTAAGAATTCAGGTGATTCAATGACTAAAGCTAATGGTGGTACTCAGAAAGTGGATTACTTATTATTTGATGCTCCATCTTGGATGAAACAAGTCAAGTTGAAAACTCCTAATGCTAACAGCCCTGAGCGATGTTCATCACCACCGCCAATTACTTTACGTAAAAGTATTGATGAAAAACGTGATCCAGGAAATTTGACTATAATCCATAAGGATAATATAAAAAGCGTAAATTCTGAGAGTTTTATAACTCAGTCATCCAATACAGTAACAGCGAAAAACTGGCCGATACCGTCTACAAGTCCTCGATCAAATGGAACATCTAAATTTGCATGGTCTGGATCAGATCGCTTTCCAGGTAATTCAAATTTGTTTAGATTTACAGTGTTGTCGTTTGAAAACTTCCCAATACTGTTATTTTTCCATGAACTAATGTAATAGGGATATGTTAAGTGTAGTCGATGATTTTTCTGCTGAAGATTGCAGAACAATCAAAAGTGCTCAGTTTTTTAGCTTTCCATTTTGCATTGCTAATCAAATCTCATTATGTTTGCTTATCCAATCCAACTTATTCAATTATAATTCGACTTAGTATTTACTCCTATAAGTGAACTCTCACAAAATTTAGGATAAACTCATGAATATAAGTGTAAAATTTGGGCATTGTGGTAGGATGCAATTTCCTGTTAGATTTGTTTATTCGATATACAGCATACAGTGATACAGTATTATTTACTTTGTGATGTTTCAAGCATGAATAATTGTTCATAATCATATCAATGTAGTCACATAACTATTGATATCTCATTTTTATAGTTCTATCACCTCATATTCTTTGCTTCCAGTGGTAGTAAGATCTTCTAAATCTCTGGTATCGGTATTCCATCATTCCTATTACATGTGTTGAGTCCTGATTCAGTCAACCAAGATTCAGTAATGAATCTGTCTCTCTATATCTAAATATATTGGGGTGAATATACAGTGGCTGTATCCCACCCTATGGCGTGGTTGGTTATGTGTTAATGCATACACTACAGTAGCCTTGTATCTTTCTGCGTTATTGATCATATTGGGCTCTGACATTCTATATTTGGCTAAATTCCTATATTTCGATAATCTAACCTTGACCGGCTAATTTGACCTATTCACTTGACCTCACAGTTATTGATTGGAATTCGGTGGGTTAGATTATTTTGCTTAGTTGAATCTATCAAATCCTTTAGCAGATAAAGCTTATCTATCAATGAGTTCGTAGGCTTAAATGCCACCCTAATTCTAGCCTTGTTTAGAAGTCATGCGAAGTTCTTGTTTCACTGGTACTTGGATTGTTCTAGTGTATACCAGTGAGGGATGATATGCGGAAAACAGTCATCATAGCTAAATCATTCAAACGTCATCATTTTATTTCACCTTGTAGATGATCGTTTCGTGTTAAGAAAATATGATCGACAGCGCATATGATCTAGTGTGTCACCGATACTTTCTGTTGGCAGTATACTTAAGATGAGTTTGAGAGTATTAAATGGTATATATCTTAACACTTTCACAACCACTCTGATTTATCACAGGTTATAACAAGTATTCAGGTCTGGTTAAGCGTAATCTAATAGACAGTTCATGAATGGATCATCTTAGATAACTATTACGGATCACGATTTCTAAGATGTCGCTCCTACAAACATCAGTACTGGTTAATCTGGTTGTAAACTTACTGTGAAAATATTTTTTACTGTATATAAATGAAATATTCCTCCAGATTTCACGGAGGGTTTTGTAGGATCACTCAGTGAATAGGGATAATATTTAATTCTTACTGTGATCCTTCCAACCGTAAGCTTTCATGAATATATCTCTTCCATTCTAGTTTGTATTTAGAATTAGCTTGGAATTGTTTCTAGTCATTGATTTTACATTGAAATATTTGGTAAAATTTATGCCTAAATCTTACATAAGTGTTTACAAATTGTATATTATTGAAATACTTGGAAGTTGACTGGCATAGGAAACTTCAAAGGGAACGTGAACTCACGACTTTCAGTTGTGGTGCTAGTCTATGAAATCTCTGACTATCAGAGTGAACCTTGTAAAGAAGTGTACACTGCCTGGATGGTATCTCCCAGGCAACAGGAATCAATGGTTTCATACTCTTAGTGACAGGATTGAAAGTCATCTTGTAAGGCTTGAACCTTTTTCACTAACCCCAATTAGTAAATTATTTCCTCTCCTTGTTCAGCCTCTTGTTCCCTTCATATTGTTACCAATTTTAGCAATTTGAACAGATTAACTCCTGTGTAGGCTTCTATGGTGATTTTGTTTGTCATAAGGATAATCAGACAGCAAAAAATGTAGCCAGTCAGTTGTATTTTCAGTAGCATATATAATCACTGGGACTATAGAACAAAAGCTCATATCACTACTTCCAAGTGAATACTTCTTGACAATTTTATTATATTTTTACTGAACCACACTATCTTGCTTATGTTCTTCTGAACAATCTAATTATCTTTATTTTAAGAAATTCTTACAGTTAATATATATATACAAAAACATATCAGTCGCTGAAAACCTTAACCTCAGGCTTAACCAAACTCAAAGTCTCGGTATTTTCTTTCACAGTAATGGATTTTTAAACGGATAGTAGAACGACTAATTGTAGCATTGTAAATAGAAGGTCTAGGGTATCTATAGGTAATAAGTGGTTTGTGCTACTCAAACAGTAACTTGTTGACTTTTCGTTGAACTTTTTAGCAAGTGACATACTTAAAAAAGATTCTTATGGAATTAATAGTCTTCTTTATTGAGTCTCACTAACTATGAAAGTCTTCCTCCATTCATTTCGATTAATTTTTGATGAATGTTGAGTGGAAACCAGGCGTATTTTTTCCCCCATCTATTCTGACCTAGTCATACTGTATATTCTTTTTTATTATCCTTTTAAATAATGTTTCACTATTCCATTGAAATGAGGTTACATACTATTGCTGTGTTAATCCATCTTATTCTTACTAGTTATCACTTCAGTAGTTAATAGTGTCGACACACCAACCACTTAAAGAGGAGATATGGCTGTAAAGTCGAAATCAAATTTTACACAACCATGTTGAACGACTATTAGGAAAAGATTTTTTCATCAATAAATTTTCAAATATTTTCTGTTGTCTCCTTCGTCTAAACTATAATGCTGACAACAATTAGTACTTCGAATATGAAGCAAACTCACCCAACAACGACGTGCGATGAACTGCGTCTTTTGTGTTACGGCCTAAGATCGCCTTCTGGATGCGATCAAGCTAGGTAACCGGTAGTCGCTGGTTCGAATCCTGCCACAGTCCAAATTTTCATAGTACCTTCAGTCATCACTCAGTAACAATAATAGTCTGCCCTACTACAGCCATCTCAGATGGTCAAATTGAAATCTCACTGTATTACAGGTCCTTTCTAACCATGCATTTTTAGTTCAAAGAAGCAGAACAAAACGAAACCGTACCGAAGATGATTCAGTGATCAACTTAACATTTGGTTATGTATAGATAAAGTCATTCAAACAAATGACTGAAGAAATCTACGTGTAATTGTCTTCCGTCAGTTCGGTTTTTAGATTCGTTAATGATTATTCAACTATCAAAGCAAAACAAAACATAATTTCATAGAAAATATACTGATCAACGTATTCAATGATGAGCATGTCCCTTAAGCTAGAAATGCATACATGAGCTCAACAGACGTTAAGTACTGTGAAGGTTCTGCGTACTCCTACAAAGCATCACATTAAGTTTACTTCGTATTGTCCAATATAACCGGAAACTTGACAGTTTAGACATATGAACACTGTCAAGGTTACTAAGTGTTGGAACGAAACCCCGTACTCTTGGTTGTTTTGTTTTCTCTTAGCTGGGTGGCTTAATCGTGAGGTTTTCGTTGCTTTTCTGGACAGTGTCATCATCAGAACTAACTTCAACATGAAGTGAACTCTCAGTATTTCTCAGTAAGCGATTTAGTAACTTACCCTGACGAAGTAGTTTTTGATGGGCTGTTTCCTTTTATTATTGTGTCACTGACTGCATGTATGTTTCTTTTGGCCGTTTTTAGACCGAAACTCTGAATTTGTAGTTATTCATCATTCTCCTTTTGGAGACGATCAAAGGCATTCGCACAGAAAACGATGAGTCACTGACTTCTGCAAGTAGTCAAAGGTATTATGTCTCCACTCCTCACCGACAACATAAGGATTTCGGAATGCATAAAACTTAAGTATTCTAGTCCCGTGGGACTCACTCATCTTTGCCCGACAGTATACTTCCAGTATAATGTCAAAATATACAAACAGATAAAAAGAAATCAAATGGGATTACTCTTATTTCCAGTAAATGCAGAAGCAGTAATACAGAGACTGGGAGACATCATTTTACTCATGATCAAACCGAGAATTTGGATCACTATGTGGACGATATCTTTGTCATCACCAAAATGGATGATTTAGAAAGCACTCACATTTTGATCAACAAAGTTTTCGAAGACATCAAGTTTGCGACAGGGAATGAGTTGAACAACCAACTTAATATCTGTCCTAAAGAAGAATGGTAGCTTACGAAACATCATTAGTAGATGCCTATCCTGTTTATCACCATCCTCAGAAATCAACAGATGGATCATCCTACCATACATAAAGAATATATCAGAGATCACGACATGATTACTGAGACCACTTGGAATTGGTGTGGCCACTCATCAACCAACAAATCCCCTCTAAACGCTTTATGCAGACCAAGGGATTAAACAACCAAAGAAGTCAAAAAGAATATCATTTACAAAATTAACGGAAATAACTGTAGCCAATACTACATTGGACAAAGTGGTTGCCCACTTCACTTTCGTCTACATGAATACCGATTGGCAATTAAGCGTGACAGCATCTCATCATTCACTTCAACAACTATGAACATGAATTCGATTTCGACAATGTAGAAATTGTGGACAGAGGAATCACAAAGAATATCAGAGAATTCCTAGAAGCTTGGCATTCAAGTCAGCTAGTCAGCAATCAGTAGATGTATAAACATAGATTCGATCTGTCGACCAATTAGAAAAGTGATAAGCAACCGAAAGGTGAGAGAGGGGTCAAGTAGAGGAACAGCCAAGAAGGAAATCTGTATAATCAATGACACAACAATCAAAGGAAACAACCAATCACAAAGCAGTTTGTCAGGGCAAGCTACTGAATCACTCACGAAGAGATATTGATAGCCCACTTCACACTGAAGTTAGTGCTGATAATGTTGTCTTAAAAGACAATGAAAGGTTCACGATTAAACACCCCAGCTCAGAGAACACAATATAACCAAGACCATCCATCTGAGC